CATAACAGCAATAGTTGCGTCTGAGATATAAATAATTTGGTAGGTATACCGAATTCATCAAAATTACTAACAAGTTAAATCATCGGCATGTTACGAAACTCTGGATCGAGAACGAACACAAAAGATTTATGCAGAAAAGAAAAGCTAAATCGTATATAAGATAAACCCATTTCACTATGAATGGGGAAAACATAATGGAAACAAAGAAATCAAAAAACTCAAAAGAATAGTTCAAGTAACATGAATGACCTGTATACCCAAACGTTCTGAATTCAAATCTTGACAATTCTTTGAGACTAGGCCATAAAAAATTTATCTCTCGTGAATATCATAATCCTATCGTGGGTAACCTGCCATTGACCTTACTGGAGAGTGATTAGTCGAGATGTGCGTAAGCTAACACGAACACCACTGACCGTTGAACCAAAAAAAAAAACAAAGAATCAAGATATAATGGCTGTTTTCTAGTTTACATCTCAAATAAGAAAATGTAATCTCTCATTGGACTGCTGTTTGTCTTTCATCCATATCTTCATGCTCAACCTGTCAAAGGAAACATGTATCTGAGACATTAGGATTGCAATATAATTGTAGTCACAAACCATAGCGATGGATTAATGCGAAAAATGAAGGCAACAGACAAAAAGCCCATCTTATGAATTTGACATGCCTACTTTTCCCATGAGCCATACACAATTCCACACGTATGTATGACTAGAGTGAAATAAGGAACTGATATTATAAATTCAATTTCAAGAAGATTGCAGACAGAATGTATATGCTAGATGATGCTTTCATTCATAGTTGCCATAACTAAAACTCAAAACTGAAACAGAGATTAATCTTTGGAACATGTAGAACTTGAAGTTCAGAAAAAAGATGCACATGAAATGCTGACAGATGGAAGACCCCAATCATATCATAGATTTGTACCAACATAACCTATTGGTAGCACTCAGGCATTGCACCATGATAACTTTATTTCACAAGGCAGTAATTCTAAAGAGACAATCATAGACTCTCATACCATAGCCTTGCAATTATTTCTGTCACTTCCGTAAGAAGCAATGTATGAGGTGTTACCATAATTGGCCATAAAAATAACAATATAATTATCGAAAAACCAGCATAAAACTTTTAACACCTCTGCTTTAGCAGTAAAGGTCGTAACTGTTATTTTCTCCGTGCAAGATGGAATGCAAAATGTATACCTGGAATGATATACTAAAGCGGGGGAAATCCACAATTTTGTTCAAAACAAATGATTTTACATAGATGCCTACCTCAACAAGTACCCTTGCTTTCTTCTTTGACTTGGCCTCAGGTTCATCTTTCTCAAGCTTTCTCAGAGCTAAAGCAGAATCTTTTTCTCTCTCTTTTCCGAGCAATTCCTACTGTTTCTTCCTCTTCTTCTTCCATACCAACTGCATCAAACTGCTAACATTAGAATATGATTTCTTGTAACTTAGATGTAACTAAAATCAACATAAAAATGTTATCATCTAGCATGTAAAGTACGTGTTTCAGAGTGACAGGACATAAAAGAGACATAGGATAATTTCCTCGCATTAAATTTCTAATCTGTAAATCATTTCCGCCCATAGCAACAAAATCCACGATATAATCTCACGTAACCAATGCATAAAAAAAACTAATAAACAGGTAGGTTGTGTCCAGTAGTACTCATGAGAAACATATGCAACCATTTGTGAGGTAGCTGGGGGATTTTGAGTTTTTTATTCCAGATTTTCTATGAAACCTTGCGACATAGTATTTATCAACAGCTTTACCATTATCATCATCTTCACCAGCTTCTTCAATAGCAAGACCACCAAAATCTTCCATATCATCCTCTTCTTCAAGTTCTTCATAACCTTCAACATATTCTATCTCAGGTTCCTGCTTGTATCAAGAATGCAAAGAAAATGAGGTCTTGCATACATTGGACCATTATCCCACCCCCCACCCCCCCCAAAAAAAAAAAAACCCAAAAACCCCCAAAAGAAATTAAATAAAAAGAAATAGACAAGCACGTAAAAAGGAAGGCGTATATCGGCCGTTTAGTGAGACCTCTTCATCTTCACTAGCAGCCTGCAGTCCATCCATGTCAAGAACTTTATTGTATTCTTTAACAGGGAAATTGTATATGTCACCATAAACTCCTCTCTTAAGGCGTTCAAGCAATTCCTTTTCAATACTCTGCATAACAGTTAAAGGTGACAGTGAGTTCTACAAACAAATTAGACGATATCATTGGTATGCTCCAGCGCGTGAGGCAAGAATAATGAGTGTACTAACTTTATCCAAAACTGCTGCCTTTTCAGCCTTTTCCTCTCTCCTAGCTTCTCTCTTTTTCTCTTTCCTAGGAGTTGTCATTATCTTTTCCCTGCACGATGACGCATAGATGGCCAATAACAAAACATGTTCAGTGAAAATATTCTCTAGGCTACAAAGCATTACATGCTGTAGCTACCTGCTTAGGCAGCACAAAGAAACCACTTATAACCAGAGGAGGAAATGAAAAGATAGATGCACAATTTTAATTGTCACCAGCATCTCATGACAAATTGGAATGCAGGTTAGTGAATGCCTCTGTGTCACCCAGGTATAAAAGGTACCTACATATTCTATGCGGAATTGACTGATTTCCCAACAATACGTTTACCCAAAAAAAAAATCATGTGTAATGCAACTTCTTTTCATCTCACACCTAGTAATAGCCATGCTACACAGGAAAACATTCAGCAGTATTCCCAAACTGCAATTATTGCATCCATCATGTCAAAAATAATGGTGTAGAAGTAGAACCTGCAGTTATACATGTTGCTTGCTGAATCTAATCACTAGTGGCTAAAAAGAAGTGTCAAGATACCATCTAAATCATCAACCACCGAGCATGCAGTAAACAGGAGTCTCATGTGGGCAATGGGGCACAATAACTGAAAGCAAGATATTTGAACCTTGTTTTTAAAGCCAGCTTCCTCATGCGTATTCGTATCTGAGTCATTTTGGTCAACCGTTGCTTTGTTTTATGTACAAGAAACTTGGGCCAATACATCTGTGCATAAAAATAAAAATAAAAAAGAACTGTACATTGAGGTATTTACAATATATGTGATAAGAATCAGTTCAGAATCCTGTAAAACTGGAAAAAAAGGATACAAATTTCTTAGTTCTTACCATATGCTTGTCAATAATTTCAAGGGCTTTTTCATAATTTCTAGGCAATTTAACCCTTTCCCACAATTTGTTTGGCATGTGAGACCTTTCTATTGTTTTCATGTACAAATAGAAGATTCCTGCAGAAAATCAAGACCACAACACAGGATATTCAGGTGCAATATTTCTCATATTCACATAAAAATGTAGAATACATTAAGATCAACTGTAAGCTATCATGCTTCATAGTTAATTCTCAAAATATAAAGTAGTTCATTGCTTTTGCGATGTTATTCTATGAAATAAGGCCTTCCTTGGCATCATACAATTTAACTCAATTCAACAAAATCTTGTCCCCACATTTTTTGGGTCGACTACATAAATCATATTTTGTCGTTGTGCTATATCAAGGGTCATATTTTCTGTTTAACTAAGTTATCATATCTTTCTTTACTATCACATCACTCGTTCTCACCGGTGTCATATTAGACCATTTATAAATATGTTCAAACCACCCAAGTCAATTCTTGCTAAATTTATCTCTTATATATGTTACATTTACTTTTCATGATTATTCTGATAACTTATTCAATCTTTTTACACATTCATCTTAATATTTTCATTTCTACCGCACTCAATTTTTTAATGTGTTGCCTCTCAGTTACCCAACACTCGATCTTATGGCCGTTCTACAAAAATTTCTTTTAGGTTGAAGGATATGCATCAATTACAAAATACACCAAATCCATTCCTCCATTATGCCTTCCTCATTATGAATGATTGACCCCAAATATCAAAAGTGTTCACTTTTCGGTATCTCTTAATCTTCAATTTTTACTAATTTACTGTTTGGATGTATGAGAAGACTACACTTCCTGATATCTAAGTAAAAACTCACACCAAAATGCAAATAACCACAATGCGATAAAACAGGAATACCATAAGAACGAGCGTTAGACAGTAATTACCCTCGTGGTCGCGGATGGTGGCGTACCGACTATTGGCGAGAGGGCAAGAGCTCCGATTACAAATCCCAGTCACGTTATATGGGTTCCGACAGAAAATCCCCGTCGTTATTCTATTATTATACAACAAAAACCAATCACCGAACCATTAATCGAACGAAAACAAAAAAATCAATGCATTTATCAATAAAAATTGGCGATAATGAGGCAAGTACTCAAATAAGAAACTAAAAGGGTCAGCTTGATCAACTCACTTAGCCATAAAACTGCAGTGATTGTGTCTGATAACTTGCCATATGACCTCGTCGTGCTGCATTGCTGTTTATTTCTCTTCTTCGTCTTTCCTTAATTTATCTCTAATTAGACTTCAGCTGGTCTGATCGAAGATGAAAAGAGAACAGAAAAACGCTTAGGGTTTTGAAAACACTAAAGTTTGTTATTAGGGTTTATCAGTTTATGCGCTGTTAGTATTGGTGGGCATCCACGGAGTGTCGAAACCCTTACTCGGATCGGTTAACTTTTTCCTACACCATTTATTTAAAAAAAAAAAAAGGCTAATCTCACTTTGTACCCCAAAAGATGTTTCAATTCTTAATTTATACCCTTATACATTAAAAACTTAATTTACACATTTAATGTGATGAATTTGTAGTAATATGAACTTGTCTAGACTGTCGTTCAATTTTTATCATAAATTGAAGCACGTGAGTTGCAAGTGTTTTGGGTATAGGCTCATGTGTAAATTCACAAATTATTGACACCTCATGTAAATTGAACATGATAAGGTTAGTCTTTATCTAATTAATGAAATCTTATTTTTGACAAACAATAATATTTACAGACAAATATTTATAGCAGATGGGCTCGATCCAGACCAGACCAAATCACAAATAGAGACAGGCCCAGATCACAAATAAAGACCAATAAAGGCTCAGTCACAATTTCAATTGGGCTAAGCCCACTGTCCTGAAAAACCCAGTCTTACTAGCGCACGTGGAAATCTACATTTTAGGAAAAGAAATATGTGGAATGCAGTCATTGAGGTGCACATCGCCAGCTTCACGAAATCACCTCACTCGTTATGGGAATGACGTCGGTCTCATGGAGCCACCCCGCTCCCTGTTATGAAAATAACGCCTCAATTGGAGCTATCTTGAAGTCGTTATGAAACTTTATTTGCCTATAAATTGTAAACTCAGCCTACACATGGGAAGCATCAATCATCTCTCAGCATTCTATACACCTTGAGTAATAAAACTCTCTGAGCACTATAGTCATTCCTTGTGGAATAGATCACTTAAACCGGACCACCTAATCTGTGTATTTGATTATGTTGAGCATACCTCATTACATACTAGATTGATTCTGCATAAACACTTTTGTGCACCATCAGTTTGTCACCGTCTATGAGAACGATTTAGTTTTCATCCTACTATATTCCCACTTTTTATGACTATTACAACTAAATCTATTAATCAACAAACAGAAGATGATGATCAACCCTGTCACAATGAGGTCCGCCCCTTACCCCTCGGGACAAACCCTGTTGTTGGACCACAACTACTAGAGACTATGCTATTGTTGGTGAACCAAAACCAACAACTCCTCCAATTGATGCTTGTTGGGTACCCTCAAGGAGCTGTGCCCCAGCACCCTGGAGGGCCAGTGCGCCAAGGTGGCCCAACTCCCCCTTCTACGCCCGATTCATCCTCCCATACTTGCAACCCTCCATTCCAAGAAAACGAGAGGAAAAACCACCATGTGGACCATAAAAGGCACTATAATAGCCCTTCTAATATCGTCCCCAACTATTGAGACGAAAAAATTAATGAAATGCAGAACCAATTATGCGACGTTTTTAATGCCATGAAGGTGCGAGGGCCGAAAACAATTGAGTACCCTGTGAGGCGTACTAACACGTCATTTGTAGCTGATGTGATCAACTAACCCCTCCCCCCAAAGTTCAAAATACCAACTATGGCAGTTTTTGACTGCTCAAATCTCTCATACAGCTGCATAACATATTAGATGAAATTATATGCAACACTTATCCTATGAAATTATGTGCAACGCTTTCCTACAACCCTCAAAGGATCAGCGTGCTAGTGGTTCGCCAGATTCAGACCAGCTTCCATTAATTCTTTTGTTGAACTAAACAAATCCTGCATCTCCCACTTCATAGAGGGACGCTGACACCTAAAGCCTGCTATCCACTTGCTCATCATCAAGAAAATCCGAGAAAAAAGTCTAAGTAGTTACCTCATTCGTTTTAATGAGGATGTCCTCTAGATTGAAGAGTCAAATGACAAAGTCACCATGACTGCCTTCATAGGAGACTTGTATTCATCCAGTTTTTTATTTTCAATTTTAAAGCGACCGCCAAAGGGCATGCTAGCATTATTATCAAAAGCCCAAAAATACATGAATGCCAAGGACTTCACCAAAGTCAGGAGACACGAGCCACAAGAATCCCCCTAAACTCCTCGTAGCCATCAATAAAAGTGGCTCCGAGCGCTATCCTACAAGTTATGGACAATCTTCTCTAGAGTCTCTCTCATCTTCTTCATCTCCTAAGAATGAGCCTCAATCTTAATAGCCCTCTCATGAGCTACCCATAGCTCTACCCCAACTCCGGTAGTCCCCTTATGAGATACCTGCTCTACCTCAGCTCCAGTAGCCCTCTCATGAGCTACTCATGGCTCTATCTCAACTCTAGTAGCCCTCTTGTGAGCTACCTGCAACTCCTTCTTTGTTTTCGCTCAAGCAGCCTCAAACTCAGCCTCTAACTTAACGGCTCTCTCGCAAGTGACCAAAACTTCGGCCTCAAGAGGAGCAGCTCTCTCGTGAGCCATCCTCAACTCCTCCTCTACGGCCTACTGTGTTTACTTCTCCCTCATCAAAGTCCTCGATATCTGCTCATTCTGGTTGACCCTTATAAAAAGGCACATAAGGGGAATACAAAAAGTAGAAACAATCTTAGCAATTTTTAGCATTAGTATTGATAGTACTGAAAATAATGCCCAACTTGGAACCGTCGTTGTTAACTACTACTTTGCCACGCTGTTTGCGTCGTTGTAGATGTTAGGTAACATTGTTTCTACCACTTCTAGGCACGCCCTAAAAATCAGGTCGTCTGCACCTCACAAAACTGTATCAGTTTGTGCGCAAAGAATTGACGTCTCATCCCTTTCGTCACCAACACCATCACATTTGGCACTAGCCACCACGCTCTCGGCACCTCGCCTCCTGGCACCCGCGTGCCTCCTACCTCTAATGCCTTGCCTCCTAGTGTCTGTGCCTCACCTCCTAGCAGTCACGTGCCTCGTGTCGGTAGCGCCTGGCCTTCTATGCCACACACTTTTCTCTTGTAACTCTACATCTCACATTTTCCCTTTTCATCCTTAGATGAGTATGTAGGGTACTATTTAAATCCCTAGGTATCAATCACTAACAGAGGACGAAGACAAGCTTGAGAAGATTAAACAATAACCACAATTGTTTATGGAGTGAAACAGTTGCGACAAGAAAAGGCATGGAGAACAAGAATGATTGAAAGTCACTAGAGTCAATAACTAGAAGCAATGGTAAAAAAGTATAAAGTAAAATTTATTCTTACTAATGTTCTCTCTCCTAAATCCCATTGGACTCCGTGCATGGGGACAAATGATGGATCTAGCCTAGACAAGGCCCAGATCACATATGTAAACTAGGGCCAAATTGCAGGTGCATACCAATAAAGGCTCAGTCACAATTTCAGTTGGGTCAAGCCCACCGTCCCAAAAGACCCAGTCTATTACTAGCGCACGTGGAATTCTCCATTTTAGAAAAGAGAATCCGTGGAACGCAATCATCAAGGTACACATCGCCAGCTTCATAGAATTACCTTGTTTGTTACAGGAATGACGTCGACCTCACAGAAACCACCCCCCTCCGCTCCCTGTTATGAGAATAACGCCTCAATCAGGGATCCCGGAGCCGTTATGAAACTTTACTTGTCTATAAATTATAAATCCCGTCTACACATAAGGGGCATCACTCATCTCTCAGCACTCTACACACCTTGAGTAATAAAATTCTCCAACCACCATAGCCATTTTCTATAGAGTAGATCACTCAGACCAAACCACCTAATCTGTGTGTTTGATTGTGTTGAGCATACTCTATTACATACTTGATTAATTTTACATGAAAACCTTTGTCCATCATCAGCAGTGATAGACATACTTCATGCTTGTGCTCAAAGTACTTGTATTTCATGTACTTCAATTTATAACGAAAAATTAAACGGCCGTCTGGATCATGTCGATCTTGCTACCAATTTATAGCATTAAGGGTGTAAATTGAGGTTTTTAATGTTTGAATGTGCAAATTAAAAATCAAAATATCTTTCACATTCAAAGTGAGATTAGCCCCCAAAAAATTTTATATTTCGTTAGCTTACTCCAAAAAATAGTTATATTACATTATAATGTTCTTCCAAGTTCCAACAAAAACCAAAGCAAATAATATTAAAAAAATTCTTAAAAAAAAGCAAAAGAAGCAAGACTTCACAAGAATGACAAAAAATATTTAAAATGTCAAGAAAAACTATATTATCTTCATTAGGTTATAGTTCTCAGCACGGTTTGTTAATTGAATGTAAGATCGACACAAACTAACGAATAAAAAGTTTTTTTTAAGAGCAATGTTATTGGAATCTAATTTATTGACATAATTTATTGACCTAATTCACTGTAACCTCTAGATTCACTGTAGACCCTATCAAACATTGAAACTTGGTGTTGATTCAATGATTCTTATGAAATCGCATCATTATGTCAGTAAATTAGGTCAAATTTTTAAGTTCAAATAATATTACTCTTTTTTTAATGCATTGGAATCATAACCAAATTGATGAAGTTAATTAATAAAAAGAATTAAGACGAACCGATGAGATATGACTACACTTGTCCCACAACAAGAAGACTAAATATTAGACTATCTTCCGTTCTTACTCAAACTCTTATTCAAATTTGAGTAAAAAAAATGATAAAAAACTTGGTTTGATATAGATCTCTCTAATAGACAAACCTTTTTTTAAGGAAGAAAAAGTCAAATTTAAATGAAGACAAATCTAAATTTAAAAAAAATTAAAATATGACTATTGAATCTTTAAAGGAGGGTGAAATCTCACCACTAAATATTTGGGTATATGAATTTGAGTCTCCCTTGATTTGAATAAAAAAAAAAGTTGTATTTCTAAGAACATCTCCAATTTTTACCCTTTTTCAAACTCAAATTTAAATTAAGATAAAAAAAACTCCTAAAAATCTTCTC